GTATTGTGAAAATTATTTTAGTCCAAATATTAGATTTAACTCCAATTCTTAGTCTCTTCATACTGTTGAGAGGAATAAGACATTACATGATGTTGCTCATGTTCAGTCACTTAAACAATGGGCAGTTGAATGTAGATGCTGGTGATGGAAGCAACGCTTGAAGTTTTTTATTTTCCAAATTGTCGTGGAAAAAAACTAACTCTTGAAATTGTGAAAGGTTAAGTCTCCTTGATTTTAATAGGTTGTTATAATTTTTATTAAAGTCCTCAAGTTCAAGTTTTGCCTTTCCAAATATTGAAAATAGTTGTTTCTGGCAGTTACACCCGAAATGGAAATAAGGGCCACTTCTCATGCTGTTTTAGCTTATGCTTTTCCTAGGCTGACAAATCTTATATCTTTGACAATTTTACTGCAGCCTTGTATGTTTTCATTGGGGAGAAAATTCTCAGTGCAGTAAGGGTTGTTAGATTGTTGTTTTTGTTTAGTTTTTTTTTTTTTTCCAGAAACATTCTTCTGTCATGTATTTTCTAGCATTTGTAATCATTTTACTCAGATATCTGAGTGTCACTTTCAAAAGCAATTTGCTGTGTTTGTGATAGTTCCACTGTGCTGTAGTAGTTCACTTAGTAATGGAAGACTTTTTAAGAGGACATTTTACAAACAGAAGAACATGGTGAAGTAAAAAGCAATACAGGCATTTTTCTGAGAAGTCTTAGCTGCCACTGATTGATATGGATTTTATGTTTATTTTGGTCAGAGGTAATACTAAAATCAAGGCCCTGAGAAGCTTACAATGTCCATGTAGTAAGTGCTAGGCACTATGAAATTATTGAAGATTGATTTGCAGAAATGGTTTGTTTGCCACTGATACTGTTGAATCCATCACAGATAGGGAGTTTCTTGCATTCATTCTGTTGTTCCTATCTAACACCTGATTGCTTTTTATGTGAAAACAACAACACTTGCCAAATTTGATGGTGGTTCCTGAATTTTCCAGTTGAGACATTGAAACATGAATGTTGTTTTTGTCCAGATCTTGGGGTGTACTCTTGTGCTTAGAACTGGAAACTGGGTGTAAAAAAAATGGCAGTACAAAGGCACCTATAATACTGGTTTTAATCTTTGCTGTCTCTTCCAGTCTTCAGATCCTTCCATTGCCATTTCCGATGCTGTTTGCTTTCCCTGGGAACACAGGCGCAGAGCGCCCTCCCAGCCGGCTGCATGTCCCACGTCTCTTTCCTGGCCTCCTGCCTGGCACTTTGTCAGGCTCTCTCCCTGCCCCACCTGGCAGTGCCAGGCCCAGAGTTCCTGACTGCAAGATGGAAGTTACACGGCACAGGGTGGGGTGCAGGAATCTGTTGAGCAGATTGGAGTGCTGCAGTTTAAGATACTCTGTGCATGTATGTTCAGAGAAGGTGATGAAAACCCGCTTGTGATTATAGGGTGGAGGTGCTGTTTTGTAGTGTGATGCATAGAGACTGCTGCTTGCTGGCTGCCAGCAGGACTTCCTCATTTTTTAAGAGTTACTATTACGGCTATTTGAGGCTGGAGAAGATCAACTGATATCACTTTATAGGCAAGCACCAGACAGATTCATTGCAATTGTGTCATGATCCAAGAGTAAGCTTTGGTTTAAGTGATCTTTACACCAGCACGTTTCAGGACTGACTGTTCCTGGACTTGTTGAAATGCTGTAGTGCTGCCCAAGTTGCTGAGCTTGGCCTCTATTTTAGCTTCTTAATGAAAAGACAACTGCTACTATTTGTTTCCAAGTGAGAACCTGGCAGAGTGGCTGTTTGTTTGATGGTGGTGATGGTGTTCTTTTAAATGCACATTTACGAAATTTTTAGTATGGAAAATGGAGTGAAAAAGCCTATAAGCCTGTTAAAATTACACAACAATTTTAATAACTTTTGATAATTGTTTCTGCTTATTATGATTTAGCTGATTGTTGGACGCATATGTTCAACTCTGAGTTTTCTAGCCAAGCAAGATAGCAATTCATTATGTTTAAACATTTACAGTAAGAAATATATCATTTGTTTGTCAAATATAATTGGGGATAGTGTAGGGAAGTCAGATTCAAAACAGACTAGCCTTTTTAGGCTTTCTGAAAAAGGGTAAGCATCACAAAATTCTACAAACACAGTGTATGACATGTTCAGTCAGTAACTGCAGTCACATGTAGTACGTCAGTAAACAAGGGACATCTGATATTTTTTTCACCTAAGGGGATACTTGCTCAGGTTTTAGAAGAGTACAAATCATGCAGTTGAAAGCAAAAGCGCAACTTTCCTTACCCTGAGAGCCAAAGCACCATTATTTGTGTTTTGCTGATTACTTAACACTGGCTGCTTATGTAACACTTTGCTATTGACACTTTATTGGAGATGCAAGGCAGGATTTAAACAAAGACTTGTGTGAATGACTGGCATCCAGAGATGGGTGAATGGCTACAGATCATGTGCTGAAACTCAGCTTCCTGGTATCCACTTCTGAATTTGGAATCAAGTTTTCAAAGTGTGGTTTTCTCATGTTTTCATGTAGCTGATATTTACTGTGGGGTTACTGGTCTGTCTTTGTGGGTTATTTTTTTCAGTGATTGAAACCAGTAACTTAAAACCCTATTGTTCAAAGACCAAGCCTGCAAACTGCATGATTTTTACCACACCTGCAAAAAAATAAGATAAAACAAATGTTACAGAGTGTCTGTATAAAAATGCCTCAGTGTTTTTTGGGCTAAATAACAGTAACTTCTCTTATGAATATGCACAGTAAGGACTGGTCCTTTATAGGCTAATCTGGTAAGTACACAGCTCTGGATAGACTGGCTCCTTTCATCGGGGGGGCCCTACAGAGAGCAGAGTTACTCGTGTGATTTGCTAAGCTAAGATGAAAAGTAAATAAACGACTTCGCTTTTTATGTAATAATCCCTACTAAAGCAAAAGTTCAGTTGCATCATTAGTAAAAACTGCTGACACTATTTTTACACAAAAATTGAAGCTGCTACTACTACTAAAATGGACCTTAGTGACTTAACATTCTTAATTTACTTTTTCTTAGAGATGTAAAGCTGGGTTTAAAGGTGAAGGAAAATTAATGGTTTCTCTTTTTTTGAAGTGTTTGAAGTGAACCTGTTCTGGGAATGTAAACAAGATACAAGAGGAGAGAATCTGCTGCTGAACTGCAGTTTTCCATCATCTGCACATAGCATGCAAACAAGTTGTAAAGTCCATGGCTTTTCTTTCGCAGTGCAGACTGCAGTTGCACAGTGCAGATTTTCAGTTGCATGCTTTTATAAAATGCAAACCCTTATCTTTCTTCATGACACAAAGTCTTTAAATACCAGTTCAGAGCAACAATTTTAGTTAATAATTAAACCCTGTCCTGTTTTCTCCAGCAGCCATTAGATTGCTATGATTCTTGATTATCCCACTACTTTAAGCAGGATTTTTTTTATATAATCTCTCTGATCCTCAATACTGACTCAGTAGCTAATTCCTCCTTTACACTTCCGTGAAAATCCTTATCTGGAGGTTGCTGAGGTTCCTTTTGGGATTTGTCCCCCGTTCAGGCTTTGTTGCACTGCCCATGCCTGTGGGCACTTCCTTGGCCAGACTCTGCTATAATGTGAAGCGATGCCAGCCATGCTGGGCCTGGCATGCGAAGACTGAGTCTTGCTGTGTGCAAATACTGCTCAACCTACTTATCTGTTTCAGTGAGCCACAAAAGGTTCCTGCCTATGTGGTAATTTGGCTGAAATAATGTGTAAAAAGAGCTGGGTATTTCACTTCCCATGTGCATTGGAGCCTCTCACATGTATGCTGGGATCTTGTACAAGAGTTAAGTGAATCACTACAGTATCTTGGCTGAAGTGTGAAATAATGTGAATGAAGCAATTGCCAAAATCATCCCTGGTAGCATACAGCATATTGCTTGCCTTTACCTTTACATTACAGGAAATATTCTTAGCAGTGAGCTTCAGTTCAGTAGCAAAGTGTGTCAAAGTACCTGTGAAGGGATCTGGCAGGTAACACAAGGCAGCTCACTAAAATTCTGAAGATGATGTATGATTTTGTTCTGGAATGCTAATGTTAGTAGCTTAGCCACGGCTTGTCCCAAGTGCAATATTAAGAAATTTTTTATGTAATCTTTTCTACTTGAATACAGTCTATATAAAATGTTAAATATCCTATATTGCTGAAAAGATATGGGATCAAATTTCTTTCCAATAAATCTTCAGTTTAAAAGAATAATGCATACAGGTCTGCTTTGTTTTCACCATACTGTGAAGAATAGTTGAAATAGCAACCATCATCATCTACAAACTGATTTTAAAGAGAATTCTTGCAGTCTGTTTGCTGAGACTTGGCTGGAGGTTAATTGTGGTTGCTGAAGTTGCGTCTAGCCCTTCATAAATGCTAGCATTAACATATGAAGAAATCCAGTTCTACTTTAAGTTGCAGTCTTCTGAACTAAGAAATTCTGTGCAGCTTCTCCCCCTTTCACCAGCTGTCCAAAGGGAAAGTTCTTGGTTTTCTTTGGTTTAGAGCATTCTCACCTGCCTGTATTTACTCTCCCAAGGCAAAGATGGACACAGACCTAACAGGTTTTGCACACTAATGTTTTCTGTTGGTAAGAGAACTCCTAAGTTTCTGCACAATTTAACATCTAATGCACTTAAACAATGCATGCAGTAGATTTGGTTAATGCACTACAGCAAGTGATGCCACACAGATACCTGGTACTCTTCTTATCCTAGTCAGCAGCCCAAGACTGGTGTGGATGTCAGTGATCTGAATCAAGGGTTTAGAAGTTTCTGGAAGTGTCTGCAGGGTAGAGTCTGATACCAGCAGGTGCAGTTTGCAGCCTCAGGTAAAAGCAGGTCTGTGTTCCTGCAGTGTTGTCCTCTGAAGCAATATAAAGTCTAACTACAGTTAGACAAGTCTTAAATAGTCGCAGCAATATTTCATGCTGTTATGCAATTGAAGATGGAATAAAAATGTAAATGCCTCATTTTTATTTAAGTAGTCCTTTGACATGCATTATTTTCAAAAGTGGAACTATCTACAGAGAACAGTTTAAGCATTTCCAATTCCAGAGGATGCATAGTGCCTGTAACAATTAAGGAATGTAGTGGAGCACCCAATTCCACAGTGGACATCTGCTGTAGAGTGCCTGAAGCAATCTTCTCATCCAGAGCACCAACACGAGCAAGGCCAACACAAATTGTGTTTTCGGTAATTTCTGTAGGAAAGAAGATGAAATGTTTAATTTATTAACTAATGATCCTATCATAAGGGGAAAAAGTACTCAAAATGCTTAAACCTTAACACTGCTTTCTTAAACCTCCAATTATTAAATTATTGGAGTGGCCTAGAAAGAAACTTGCTCTTCAAAGAAAATAAAACTTAAGGATGTTGATAAGGAAGAATTCGTTTAGGAATTGTGTTCACTTTGAGGGAACTGCTGCTTCTGATTCATTCTATGTAAAGGATATAATTAAGGGATTTTCATTTTAACAGTATTGAAGGAATAAACTTTTTAAATGAGGAGTAGACCTAGGTGAATTTGTTAGAAAAAAAATCTGTGACACAACTGCATCATCTTTATTAACTGCTATGCTTTTACCCTTGGTCTCAATAAACATTTCACAGTTTGCTCCTGACTAGTGTTAAGAATTCAAGGTGAAAATCACAGCTTTGCATCTTTGGGTTAACCTAGATTCCTCCTAGTGTTCACACAGAGCAGGGTGTGACCAGTCTAAGTAAAACAGCTGAGATTTTTTTGCAGCTTGACTGATCTTGACTGATCTAAAATGCTCAGAATCCTTCTGCTTCCTGCAACTCTAATGGCTCAAAGAGCTCATAGTTCCACATGGATAGAAACAGTGCAGGGTTTCCAGACTGAGGCTTTGACTGTAGCTCCAGGAGCCACCAGTGCACCTTCAGTGATGCTCACTGAACTGTGCTGGGCTCAATCTTGGCTAAATCCATCTCATGACTAGGATTTAAGGCAGCCCAAATCCACTGCAGAGCAGAATTCTGGGAGTCAGGGGAGGGGAGTTCAGAGGCTCATCAAAAGGTCTGACTGGAGAGGGTGGTAGCAGACAGAAGCAGTCCAATCATACCTGGGTTTTCTCCCTGGAGCCTTCTGTTTTGAATAATGGCAAGAAGCTGTTCTGCAGCTTGATTCACACTCATGTAACGTGGTGGCTCATAAATCTTTCTTCCTCTGCAGGGAAGGAAAAGCAGAGAAATTTCACATATAACCCATTTTGTTATCTCCAGCAATCTTACAGCTTATTTTAAGACCTCTAGACCAGCAGGTTGAACTTAAACAGGCCCAGGCTCTCATGCTGGGTCTTTTAGACAAGAGTGAAATTTTTAGAGAATACAGAAATCTGTTGTGCTCTCACCACACCTGTGAAACAGCTGGGCTCCAGCTGCCAGATCATTTAGATCCTAAAAGCAAATTCAGCTGCTAGAAGCAAGATGCAGGTTTTTGCAGCTACTCTTGAAGGATGCATTAGACTTAAATCCAAGGACATACAACTGTTTTTCTGTTAAATGCCCTGTAGACAGATGATTACAGACTAGAAATATATCCTTAAATGAAATGCTGCTTTCTTTGCCAACTGTGGATTCAGTCAAACAGATTTTATTTTGAAACTCCAGAATAAACAAACCTCAATGATACTGTGAGACTTCACAAATGTTAATTTAGACCAGTTACAGCATGTGTACAGAGGAGCCATTTATATTCACCACTGTGAAAACATACAGATTGCAGAGATGAGTAAGATGTGGCAAAAGCTTTTTGAATACAGTTAAACGAGCACAAGAGCATTTTCTGTATATTGCTTATTTAACTCTTTAAGAAGGGTGTTATGTATTCTGCACTTTGCACTGTACCAACCAGTGTACAAAGAATGAAATTAGAACACTGTTTAAGATATTAATCTGTTTCAGGAGGTGACAGAACAGTAGAGAAATAACACTTCATTCACCAAGAGGAAAGCCTATCCCTTTCTGACTTAGTGCTTCTCACAGGAACAGTTACAAAAAAGATCATGTTCTGCTGCAACTCCATTCAGTTACTGTAAAAAAAGCCAGGCCCTATTGCAAGGAACAAAAGAGTTTCACTTCTTGTAAGAAACAAAAGACAGTGGCCACCAAGAAGCATGAGAGAAGGCAGGTAAGTTCAGTATTAGACTATGGGTAAAGAACCTTTGTTCCTTGTATAAAAAAACCTTTGTAGGGGCAGTGTGTGTTTCTATGTATTATCAAAATGGTGACTCACTTAATGAGATTCTCCAGAGACTGCTCCTTCACTTTAATATCTGTAGAACAAAACACATTAAAACACAGCTTTCCTACAAACTTCCCACTTAGTTTTCTATGTAGGTGAAGCTTTAACAACATTTTAGCTATTATTAATATTATAATATTATATTTAGCTATTAGAATATGGATCACACTGTGCTGTTTCATCTGTTAGTTAATGTCAAAATCCTGTGACTTTATGCATGTGATTTTACCCAACAACAGGGAAATTTCACAGATTTCAGAGCTAAATAAAAATCCTGGTAAATATACGAATAGGCATATTTACCATAAGATAGTTAAGTACTAGCACATTTGAGCACACCAGTTCATTGGGACTACTCTTCAACTATGAGCACATTATGTCACAGAATGTAAAGCAGTCTGACTGCTCGACAGTGATTACATCACTGCCATGCAGGAACCTGACTTTCATTAGCACTTCCTTCCTGTCCCAATCAAAATTTAGAACAAGCTTCTGTTATGGGAAAATAAAAAGATTTGGGCAAAACTGAAATAGAGAAGGGGTCAGGTAGGTAAGACTCTGCACAGCTGCAATTTTATGAAACAAATTGACCATAATCTTTCCAAGAGGAATCCAGCTGGATTACCTGTACTCAAACACCCCTCCTCCCCCAAAACTGTCACAGAGAAAGCTGGATACCTTTTGAACCTTGAATAAGTATTCCTTGTTACATAATCAACTTCTAAACCAAAGTGACTCAGATGAAAGGGGTTAAAATGCAAAACCCCAAGACTGTAAGTGTCCAGTTTACCACACTGCTTCTACATCCATGAAGTCACTTTCAGTTCAAAAGTTTATCAGCACTAACCTTTTTAATGCCACATTTGCTTATCTGGTGATCTATTCAGTTGGGTAAACACTCAATATATAGACTAAAAGGCAGGAGAGTGGCTGCTGCTCACCAAGTAAGCACAGGGTGTGCATTCCATTCTGCCTGTTCTTCTCAATCTTGTCAAAGAAGCTCTCTGGCTTCCATGTATCTGTCCAGAACACTATGGAAACGGTTTCTCCAAAATTGTACAACTGTAAAACAGAGCAAATGCAATAACACACATGAGCAATAAGAAAAAATAAGAGCATGCAATAATGTTAAAGGCCATGTAATGAACTACCTGTAAAGTTTTTACTGGATTCACCTTTCCAAGGCAGAATTAGTAACTTTCTATTTCTACTTTCTATTGATACTCAATTCTGAAATCCTTTTAAAGGCAAAAACTTTGTAAGATTGGTGCCAAAATTATTATTTATTATTTCTTACTTTGGCTAAGGGTTTTTTATCTCTTACTTTGGTTAGGGTTAGACAGCTTGGAATAATGCTATAATTTAATGTTTTGATTCTGCTGATTTAAATGGCATTTTGCTGCAGATGGAAGCTCTAGCACGCAAAAGAAGTTACAGTCTAAGGAGATAGTGGATATGAAGATCTGAAGACAGATTGTGCAGGAAGCAGAGAGGTACAACATGGTTTATGCACATATGGAAAGAATATTGCTAGCAGATTCAATGTCAAGCATACTCACTGATTCTATTCTCAGCCTTAACACATTTATTACTGTAAGTCCCTCACCTTGGTGAAGACATTTGAAGCAATAGTCCTGCCAGTCATCTTTGGTGATGCAAAGTGAAAGTCATATGTAACTTAAGGCAGTATTTGGCTTGGAAATAGTTTTTACCCTGAAATAGGGGAATACCATGCATCAGTTTTGGTCTGTTTAGCTCTGGACTGGGGCCACCCCAGATGGATTTTTGCCAATATGCTGTCTGCTTAAGCCCACCAGAGAAACAACAGCCACATGGACTATCCTTCTCACTTTCTCTGTGGTCCTGGAAGGAAAAGCTGCTTTCCAAGCCCACAAAAGGAGACAAAGGCACTGTGTGTGCTTTGGCAGAGCACCCTGTATAGAAGCAACTCTGGCAGCCCTGTGCCATGTGGGGATTCCCCTATACATACTTCTGTTATTGTGGCATTAGGCTGTGGCTTTAACTCCTTTATGCTGGTAGAGCAGAACTTGAATGACAGCAGAAACATGTTTATTTTCAAAAGCTCAAATTTTAACTATTCATGCTGATAAAATTTATTCAAAGATTCCTGTAAGGTAACTGAAAACATTTCCTCTTTTAAGTATTTCATTCTAGCACAAGGACAAGAACATACCGGGTACATTTCACAACCTAAAGGTTCTTCCAGTAAAGTAAATACAGGTTGAACCAAATAAGTTGCTCCTGATGTAACTTTCCTGATGTTAGCTATTTCAAGGCTGTGTTCTAGAAAATGAAAAGAAAAATCAAACTATGCTTTGCCTATTTTTCATGTGGCTATCTAGAACTCATTCCCATTTTGTACTAAATCTGTAGAAAAACTATTAGTACAAGAAGTTTCTCTTTCTCCCCTTCACTGTTAGAGTATCTGGGAGCAAAATACCTTTAATCTCCTTGGTAGCATTCCTGCAGTCTTCCAGAAGTGCTGCAAAGTCTGATACCTACCTAAGTGCTCCCCATCAGCACCTGAAACCACTGCAACCACGTCCCTAAAGCAGCAGTCCTTGTTCAGGACAGAAAGTGGCCTCAATTAACCTTAAATCTTACCTTGGCCCTTTGGCATTTTGATAAACCAAGGAAGAAAAACTTTTACCTCTGCCCTTTAGGAAAGGAAAGGATATGCAGAAATGGGAAAAATGTTATTATCTAAGAGGTATTTTGTTGGGAATCAGAACTCCTAAACCACTCTGCTACATGTTAAGAATGAGTTGGACATTCAACTTTATACCATACAGTGCTAATTCTGATTGTTATAATTCTCTTTTCCATTACTCACTACAAAGATTCTCCATCCTCTTTGCCAACAAGAAGGTAAGCAAGCTATCCTTTTTCATAAAAGCCCTGCCAATCATTCACTAATCTGTCATTTGTTTACTGGGTTTTGCATTAATACTGAAGCCTGGGTGTCAAAAAAGAGTAAAATATTTTTGTCAGAAATTGCCTGTCTATTCAGTAGAAAAACCTTCAGAACACCTTCATGAAGAATTGATACCACAGAAAACTGTACTTCGTCTCAAAATAAATACACCTCTTTTCTCAGCATCTGGAAAGTACAGAAGTAGTTTCTACACCAATAAGATAGAGTAGGACATATTATATTAACCTCCTAGAAATGCTTTTGCAGTTTATACCCCTCTACTAACTAAACTTGTGAAGAACAGATTTCCTAGGATTAATGTGCACATACTTTAAATTACAGAGGGAGGAATACTGCTTTGCAAAGTCCCTGGTACACCATCAGCCTGAATGCTGAGGAACTGAAGTAGTAAGTGGGATACCTCTATTGTGCTTGAATACTTATAACCAATTACCTTACAAACACTTCCACTGACACAAACCAATATTTCTTTCTCATCCAGTATTGGTCTCTGCAGACGTGTGACATTTAAGCAAACATAGGAACTGCTCTTCACCAGGGCAAACCTGCATTAAGAAGGGCATGACTGTATCAGATCTTATATTTTAAATGCTCTCCCTGTACTTCATGCAGAATTCCATTTGTTCCCAATTTAGTTTCCTCTGCTGTGCTCTAATTTCCACCTTTTGAACTTGTGCATGAAGTATCTGACTCTCAAGAAAAGCCTTGCAGCAGAGAGAGCAATAAATGCCAAAAATTGCACTACTATCCTAAGGATTCAAGAATTACAGAAGACAGCAGGTCCACTAAAGACAAAACCCACTGAAATTAAAATGCTTTCTTTCCACCAATCATAAGAGGCTGCAGAGGGTCCCAAAATTCCAGGAATCATGCTTCTCACTGAAACAGAACTGTCTGACATGTTTGTTAACCAAGGAGTGTTACAACACAGCCACGGATTACTGCCATGCTTTGAGACTGTTCAGGAGTTCAATAAGATGATGAGCTGTGTGGATTTGCAGAGATCAGGGATCAGCTGTACAGTGGCTGGCACAGCTCTAAAGGGAGGCAACAGCAAATGAAATTTCACAGCCAACTTGTGTGTGCTGCGCTCTGCATGAAGCATGTGGGGTTTTAGGAGTGGGCAATGTGTGGTCTGTACAAGCCCAAACATCTCAGGCATCACACTTACACTGATGAGCAGGTTTGTTAGAGTGCCTGCATTCTGCTCATTCACAAAAGTGCCAGAATTTCAAAGGGGTGCAGTGAAATGGTTGGACAGATATTTCGTGTTTTCAGCTTGGAAACCAAACTCTTACCTTCTCCTCAATGCTCAAAAACATCACAGAAAAGTTTCAAAAGGACATTTTGAAAGACCTCTGTCTTTGGAAATAGCCCTTTCTCTGCACCCTCCCCCCCAAGTACTAACTGGCTTAAGAAAAACTCTGTGCACTGAAATTTTGCAATGCAACAGCTCAGGTCAGCAAAGGAAGCCAGCACTCTATTCTGAGGCAATGCCCTGCTGCTAGAGTTTTCTGCCTCACAGAATACTGCAGAAAGCTGTTCTTCAACTCACGGTTACATCACCTCAGAACAAGATATAACTTCCTATCTTATTTACACACATGATATGAAAGAATGATTGACAACTTTTGGTGCTTCTTTTCTGTCAGTATTTTAACCTTTATATTAATGCTATTTCTTATTTTACTTCTTTATACAAGCAGAATTGATTGCAAATTAAGAGGCCAGAATGAACTGTGAGAAAAAGTACCATGATCTCACCTTGGAAGGTGCAAGTGGAATTTCAATGCAGCTGCTGAGCTACTTTGTTAAAGACCAGTCTGAATGATATCAGATAACTTGAAACTGTCCTGATCAATTGTTCTCACTTGAAATCGTGGTGTGGTCAATAACCACAAAAATTTAGGGCATAAAAGACGGAACAAGCTGAAACTGAATAGGGAAATTAAAAAAGGAAGATCCACCATCCCCTCCAAAAAGTTCTAAAGCAAGCAGGAGAGAAGATGAAAAATAATATAAAGGTCAGTTGGCCAACAGCTGCAGAGAAACCAAGAAGTAAACATTTCAAAACACAGACATCTATTTTTACAGCATCTTTCCCAGAATTATTGCTGTATCAGCTTCAATGGTGACACAGCAATTTTCCACTTCTGAACCTATCTCCCTTCCTAACATTTCAAACAGCTTCAGAACTAGTCATATGTCTGGTACTTCCCAAAAAAAAGAGTTACTGCATTCTTCAGACCTGCCACCATACACAACCAAATACCTGAGACTCCATAGTGGTGAAATGCTACAGAGCCATATTCTGGTCACAGGTTACTGCAGACAGTTCTCACAGCACAGGTGAATTATGGAAATTCAGACTCTTCTCAGCCTAATCACAACCCACTGGTAGGAACTAAGAGGCTTTTTCTCCTAAGACTATTCCTCAATGGATTTAGAGACTGCAGAGTGCCTTGCATTATCCCAGGTTACTTCCAGACAGATCCCAATGGGCATACCCAGAAAAGCTAAGACATATTTTCTTTGTCTTTGTCATAGGGGTTCTGACATGATGCTATGCAATGTTCATCCTCAAAGATAAGGAACCTGAGTCAGGTTTTTCCCTTTATTCTCCCTAACCTGTTAACAACCCTCCAGACCACATACATCAAATTAAAGGGCTCCTGCTGTTCTTTGTATTATATTTTGTTGCTTGATAGCAGCTGAAGAAGTAGTGTGATCATCAACAAAGAGGAGTAAGAATCACTCAATCTTTGTTTTTGCTTGGAATTGGTCATATGAAACAACCACAAACCTAGCTCTAGCCCTTTACACTACCTTATTTAGTACCACAGACCTTGAGCAACTTCAAATGCCACTCATGAGAACCTCCACATGAAACTGAAATGTTTTACCATTCACATATATGTGGCTTTGACTCCTTTTTGTACTGCAAGCTAAGAGATCGTCCTAGCTGTCACAAAAACTTCCAGTCCCCTTAGTACATGCCAGACAGAAAGGAACTGTGAAGAAAACACATTTGGTTGATGAAAACCCACTCCACATAATTGCAGTCTTCAGAAGGCAGCTGTGACAAAATTCATAAAATCAGTTGAAGGGATGAGCACATTTTGCTTTGGCTGCCTCTTGGATCTGCTTAGGAAATAGCCACTCCACAAGCAGAACAAAATTCAGCTATCAAAATACTGAGAAAGCAAACTTGCATAGGAGAGGATTTGCCCCCAAGGTAATGTCACCTTATCTTTAAAAACCTTCTAAGATTCTTTCTGCCAATATCAAGAAATGTTTCCTTCCTGCCCTGAAGGTGACTTGGGTTACTAATATGAAACGAAGAAATCTCAAATAAAAAAAACCCCAAACCTGATTAAATAGATGTTTCTGGTTCATGTTTGCTGGTGACAAATGGCGCTAAGTTGGACAGCAATTTTGAGTAATGAAATAGTGTGAACAGCACTGATTTAACTTTTAATTGGCTTGAAAAACAAATGCCAACTTCTTAAAGGCTCAGAAGCTGTTAGTAACTGAAAAAACAATCAGTGATGGAAAACAGTTTAACAGTCAGTAATTTTGTGTAAAGTCCCCCCTATTAGAGCAGAGTGTTTTTGAAGATTAGTGCACACAGAGAGGGTGGGACTCAGAGGCTCCACTCCTGCAGCTACTACAGGGTTTCTATTTGACTATGAGCACAGAAATTAATGATAGCATCATTCAGCTTCTTTATCTTTAAGAACACTGGAAATGTACTCACCTGTTCAGCAAAAACTCAAAAATAACACAGTAAGCATTGCTTTTGCATGTAAGTGACCAGCTGCTAGCAAAAAGGCTATTTTCTATTTTATAACTGTAATTGTCTTACAAGAATTAAGAGGACTGCAAACAAAAAACCCGAGATGCGTCACTGAAAGAAACAAGGGCACATGCAGATGTTTGTTCTGAAGCTATTCAGCTGGAAAGTGGGTACATCTCAAAAGAAAGGCAGCTCTTTGCTGTAACATGTTTTTTTCCTAGCTACCCAACCAAATGCTTTCAAAACGAGCAACACCATTGAGAAATGAGCATCTCCTTTTAGCCTTTTATCTCATCCTGTGACTCGCCTCCAGCTTTGCACTTCAGTTCTCAATCCTCTTTCTTTATGTTAATGCCATGATCTCAAGCCATTTGAAGTTGCATCATTCCTTCACACGCACCACAGGTCAGCGTGATGCAGAATCTGTGTTTGACCACCAGCAGTTCTACCTCAAGCACACATTACCAGCACTGGGTCAGAGAGAATTCTGTCCTGAGAGCACCACTCTGACCAGTGACCTTCCCAAACCAACCCAGATGTCATGCATATTAGAAATGAAGGAGAAATACGGAAATTAGAGATCCTCATTTTCCTGCCTCTTTATTCTAGTGCTAAAAGCCTTAGCAATCAGCCCTATTCTGAAAAACTGAGAGTGAGCACAGGTACAGCCTGTGCTTCCTTGGCAGTGTCAGCAGATACCAAAGTGCCTGACTGTCCTCACTGGTGGTTGCTCCCCACTACAACAGGAGTCAGAGTGACAAACACACCCATGTGGCAGACTCCATACAAGGGAGGTGAACCTGCAGAGAACATGCTAAGAGGCACTGACATAGGAGCACAATTCTTGGCTTCTCTTCCATTCATTTGTTTTTAAGGGAAAACAGCTTCTTCAGCCTTGGAAAGAAAGTATCTGTTACAGTGAAGTACAGCAAAAACAGTGTAAAAGAGAGAAGCACAGCACATCACAGAGCCTTATGCCCAATCAGACTACCACTTTGCTAAGTTATACTATCCCCGCACAGTTTATCACACTGTGAGAGCTTCCAAGAAGTTTAATTTTCAAAATTAAAACCCCACTCTTTTTTTCAGTATTCCAAAACAGCTTCACTAATTCTGTTAAATGAGGAGGACAGTTAAAAAAAAGGATTTGAAAATAGATATGAACCCCTCTTCATTATTTGGCAAGATCTACAACTATGGAATGAAGGTAACAAACCATCACTGATGCTGTACCAACTTCAATAAATCACTGTACAGGAAAACTGCACAGTACCAGAATGTTGTTGGCTGCACAGAAACATTGCTCTGATGACCAGAGATGTTCTTTTGTGACCAGACTGTGCTGTAGCTGCATTTCAGATGGCCTAATCAGCAGTTACAGCTCGCTATGCACATGGCTCTCTGAACGGCGTATAAAGGTGTTTCCTGTTTTTCTCTACTAAGAAAGAGAGGGTTTGTATCACAATCAGATTAAAACAAGAAAAAAAGCAAAGCCTTTTCTGTGGTGAAGCAAAAGAGGAATCCCTCCTATACTTGACAGGAACTTTACAATTTGAGACACAATAACTCCAAAATTAAATTGATAGCAGGAGACAGCCATGGAATGTAAAGGTTTTGAAAGAAATTATAAACTTCCAACACAACTCTAGTTAATCAAAGGCTGCTTTTTTGTAAGATACACCTCACTTGCTGTTTATGCCAGTAAGGAGCAATCAAGACTTAAATATCCAACTGGTTATATTCTGCCTGGTAATGCAATTACTATTTCCTAAAACGCCTTATATGACAACAGGAATGTGGACTTAGGAGAAGGCTGTCCCTCCCAAGCCAGAATGGAAAAGGGGACTAATGCCAGACTGAATAACATCACATTTCCTTTATGGTCTGCTCCCTTCAGCAAGGGATAAGGAAATAGCAATCTAATCTCCAAAACTCTGCATATGTGAATAACCTTATGCACTGTTTATAGTCACGTTAGGTTTCTGGTCTTTTTTTCAATTAACCTAAAAGCTGTACACTGCTCCTTCCTATGCCTGGCTGAACTGTGGGGGAAGCAAACTTTCGGAAAACTTAAAAATCTCTTTGGGCCTTGCATCTTCCTTCCTATGTAAGAATGTAAGAGAATAGTAAAAAAGAGAGCAAGTAGTAGAAACTACTTGTCAACAGTGTGACAGCAGAAGCAAACTTTGCACCACCATCAAGGCAAAAGGGGAAGGGTGAGCCCCAACCACAAGTCTTGTTTTACCCACCCCTGTAAGTGCAGTCATGCAACAGCTGCTGTCTGCTATGTCTATACATGCAGATTTTAGACACCAAGAAGCCTATTTCCTTTCTGAAACATAATTTTGCCCAAGTCTTGCAGCAATAGGCAGGTGTCATTAAGAAGGTGCTCACAAGAAGAATTATAAAGAGTGTGAATGCTGTGCAGCATTCCCTTTAGCATTAGCTAACAGGAGAGGTGTCACTGCATTGGTCTAGAGCCAGGTCAGACAAGGTGCTCAGATTTCTAATCAAAGCCAAAGACAATACCCAAACTCATTGACACAGATTTCCTGCTGTTGGCCAGCATTACTATTTGAATGGAGTTTGGAGTACTGGAGTTAGTCAGTGGAAATTTGAATGTACCAGGTGTTTGCCGAAATTAAAATAAATTGTGTTCTTCTGTGTACTGCTAGGAAGGAATTCCTTCTTCAGTGATGGAAAGTTATTGTTTAAACCCCCAACTTGTCTGTAGTACATTTACACTCCTGTGCTTGCTTTTGGCATTTGTAAAGTGGGAACTTGGTTTTGGGGTCCCATGCACAGGGAACCATTCTGAACCTTGAGAGGGCAGGTTCTATGTTAAAGAGTTGAATGAAAACAAGAGGGGGAAGCTTCATCTAATTTATATGTGATTAGTTATGATTTATACACTGCCACAATATCTTTCATACAGTAAAAGTAATAGGCGTATTACTTTTTTACGCGTATTACCTTGCGTAAAAGGAAGTATTTTCCTGGGGAACACTAGACCTTTTTTACTTTACCCATTCAAGATGCACAAAAACTATCATTTGTTTTACTAGTCCTTGGCTATGCAAATCCCTCCTCCCTAATCAGATGGGCAGAAAGTAGAGACAGATCAAATTTATTAGAAAAAGAGTGCCTCCTATTCAAGACTTTGGAATTATGATCTGAGTTGAAGATATATATATATAGGCTTGTGCATGTATTTCTTATATGACAAGATCAGCATAGTTCTCTACATGATAACAACCCTATTTAAGAATAAACTTATCAGGTATTACCTGATACCTGATTTTACCATCAGTAGTAGAAGGAAGCCAACATAAGCAAAGCTTTATCTGTAAAATAACTTTAAATACCAAAGGCTCCTGGGGCAGAAGGAAGTTAGAAAACAGAAAAGAACAGAAGTGTTACTATTCATTTTCATGTGAGCTCATCAAAAAGGGCTTTTGCTGACATGTGGCATGCTAAAAGGAAGAATTAACAAATTCTAACATTATGTGTACAGTTGGTACAGATCTTCAAAGCTGGGATTGCAACATGCACTGCCACAGCAGTAGAAGAGCTCACTAATTCTAAGCTTAGCAGTTGGGAAACAACATATATGCATATCCAAAACTATTACCTGTAAACCACTGCAGCCCACTGCATTCATTATTGAAGCATTATGAATGACCTTGTAAGGAATCCCCAGTTTTACTGCACGTAGCACTAAATCACTGTGTGTTGTGGCCCTGTGGTAAGAAAAGGAAGGAATTAAACAATGAAAACATGCTGTTACCAAGTGTTACTATCACTATAGTTTGTTTTGAAATAAAATTAAATCCTTCACAACAAGGACAATGCAGAGGTGGAAAAATGGCAACAATATCCTAGTGGTTACAGGAAAATAAACACTCCAGTAAGGCTTCCATATGTCATCTTCCTCAGCTGAAATGCCAGGCATCCTCAGTATGGTACAGCTCTTTGCAGTTTTCTGTCATCATTAGAACTGTAACACTATTACAATGTTACTTTATAAAGTACCCTTGGCAAGTATTTGAAAAGGGAAGTTCCATGTATCCTTTGTCTTCTGCAGGTGTCTGTTGAATATGCATTGAACTGTAAAGGCCAACTCTGTTTTACACAAACTTCCACAAAACTCCAGGATTTCGTTACTGGCTGCACAGCCAGGCCCTCTCCCATCAGCACCAGTGTGTGCCAGGAAAGCCCCACACTCAGACAAGAACTCTGAACAGACAGAGGTGAACTGCACATTTACTTAGAAAACACATCCTTAGACTGAATCAATTTTTCTACTGTTTAATCCAGGTTACTCAAATTAACAATGCCTAAATCTGAGTGATAAAGCTTATTCTGAAAGAGTTAAGAATATTGAAGCTTCAAACAGAGTTAAGTTCAGCTCCAGGTCTAAGGCTCAATAAACGCATTGCAGTGATTGACAGCTTGCAAGAATACTAGTTTGCAGTTAAGCAGTTGAGATCAGAGCCTTTCTAAAATGGTTAGTACATATAGATTAAGCAAATCTTTGAACTGCAACAATGTTTACATATGTATTTTGCTTGTATGTATGCTTATATGTATGTGAAATATGAAAATGCACCTACCCCTTGCCTAAATTCATCTCACCTGATCAATGACCTTAGACATTTCATTCCCAAGATGAGACCACACATTTCTGTGTAGCCATTGCAAACAAGGAAGGAAAGAAATAACATATGGCCATCAGAACAGTGAACTAGGAAAATTGTTTTCACCCTGGCCTTGTTCAGTTACTCTAACAGAATTCCCCTGGTTCTAGCCTGATAATTTTGGTGCTGTGTGTCTGACCAGCACCCAATCAGCAGATCAGGTGCTTTAGACTGGAACACAAATGTGACAGCAGCTGGCAAGGCTGTAAAGATCAATATTTTATTAAAAAATCAATTTCAGTGGAAGAAAAAAAAAATGAGGAACGTGAATCTGGGAAATCTGACACCCTTATACAAACAGGCTCCCAGACCTAGGAGAAGGCAGTAAAATGATCTGAACCAATACTTTAGTTACTATGCTAACATTGCTCCTGACTTCCAGAAGCAAAGGTGATTCAAGAATGTTTGCTCTAAGAGAAGAGGAGACTGGTTTTACAGCCTTGTGTTATTATTCCCTGCATATACAAAGGACAAGGAGCACTGGAGGATTTTGTGGTTATGCTAATACCGACCAAGGGATCAGCTGGCTTTATTCACTGAAATTTGCTCCAGCCAGTATTTTTTTTCTCCCAGTAGATCTGTCTATAATGACTGTAGCTAAAGGCAGAAGTGCCCTCATCGGCACTCAGCTAATACCAGGGAAAGTCTCATGGAGTCATCCCTCCACAGCCAAAACTACAGCAGTATTTTCTGTCACTGATACAGAGGTTAAGTTTTATGGGTAGTAATATGAATGTTAACACCAGCCTAGAGTGTTGGACTTTCCATTGTACTACTGAAGTTGTCAGGTTCTTGTAGCACATCCATCCATGGGTGTAACCACACACAGATAAAAACTTGCAGTGAGGATGACATGGCACAGTTTGCTTTATCACTTTAACCATTAACCACCAACACATGGCATCTTCTGTGGCTGCCAGTTACTCTGCTCACCTGCAAATATACTTGACAATCTGTGATCAGCTGCAAGTGGCTTCTGTCCTCCGCTCTGGCCTCTCTTAGGACAGAAACATTGAGTACTCTGTCCTAGTAACCTCACAAGCCCCTAAATCCTTATGGTTCTTTGTGAGCCTAGGAGCAGTTCTAGCTGCAATACTGAGAGCTAAGAACATAAACATTTAGAGAGAAGCAACTCATTCAAAAAGGGGAGTTTTTAACAATAACGTAGTATGTTAACCAGAACTGAAGTATTTTGACATTGAAACTAATTATAACTGAGGCAGATCAGAATACTGCTTACAAGTAGCAGCTACATTTCAAACCATGTAGTTTTTTTTCTTCATCTTGTGTACTTGTATCAGTCACTGGATCAGAGCACAAGGGTACAGGTAACATGGCTCTACACTCTGCACAAATCCTAGTTTGAATGTAAATGTGACTGCAAGTATAATCAATATTTCTGAAATACAGGGTCATCTGCCCATAATTAGTTTAATATAATAGTCTATTGCCAATTGTCTTCAACCTGTATTTACATAAATTATCAGCTTTTGACAGATGTGCACATTGCTCCTTTTATCATAAACTCCATTTTTTCCCTCACAAATAAAGTTCTCAGATTTCATTTTTCTTGTGCCCCTTAACACTGTGGTATAAATCTTACATCCCCAGCTGGAGATGAAAAGCTCTTCTGCATGGCTTGACATTACAGATTGATGATGCCTGACCAAAGAGACAGAAGGAGATCCTTCTGTTCATAGAAAAAACCTATACTTTCCAGCAGGAAAAAAAGCGGAAACAAAAGGCATAATAAACCAACAGGACATGACATTTATAATGATATAAGTGATTTTACAAACTAGCACATATTAAAGCAGATTATACAACCAATAATCTGGATTGATTCTAAAACAACTGAGTATGAAAGCTGCAGTTTGTAAGTGTAAATAGCAACTAAAAGAATTCTCTCCCCAAAATAGCACATTTCTTATTTATGTGATAACCTAGAATTTCTTCTGTTAGCAGACAAATCAGGAGGCAAAGCATTCGTTATAAAAGGTAGCACAGAGAATAAAATGATAACGAATTAAATTATAAATATCTGCTGAAGGAAAAATTCATACATCCTGGAGGGTCCACATTCCTATCTATAATGGACATCTGGGCAAGGAAACTGCAAAGCAAGATAAAGTGTAGACAACTGTATCTATACTTTTAATACAATAATGAATATACAGACATAAAAAGTGTTTCTGTTCTGAAAATCAGTTCCCTCAAAAATAACTACAGTTACACAGTTGGCTTCTTCCTATTGAAAAAAGAGTGATGAAGCTATAATTAAAATGTTGCTCTGTCTTACCCAAAAGGATCACCAACCACAAGAAATGCGACATCACAAACATCAGCTTCTTTTAAAAGGCTATCTGCTTCTTGTTCCACCATTTCTCGGTCAGCCAAAATCAATTCTTTTCCATAAAACTCTTCCTAGAAATTGAAATTAATAATAAACATTAAAATAAGACACTCAGGAATGTTTTTGTATGTCTCTGGGTGCTCACTCAGGAGCACAGCCAATGGACACTGGAATAGGTAACTTCATTATTCTCCCCAGCAGCCTGCCCCATGTCTTGGAGAACCTCACTTCTGCTTGCAAGAACACCTGACCTTTCCATAGAGCAGCTCCTGAGCTGACAAAAATTAGTGAATGTGAACTTTATCCTGATACTGACTTGGAGTTCCATGCCTTTTGTGTCAGTTGAGGAGCTGCACCTAAAGCAGCTCAGTCCCACCTGCACTGAGGGTCCCTGGGTGGACTCCGGGCAGAATTAATTTAACTTGCTGCTGTAGGGCATCCCCTCTTCCAGCCTGAGCCTAGCTCTCAGGCTGCTTACAATACTGGCACCAAACCAGGTACAAATACCACACTAGCTGCACCACAACCTGTTCTCTCAGATTTTTCCTTAGTACATTTTAGCTAACCACATCTAAGGAATGACTTCATATTAATCCTTCGTCTTGAGTTCTCTTTAAGAAGTACTTTACCAAGTATACAGGTAAACACGTATTTGATCCTGTCCTTAATTTTTCTTCAGCAGCTCAGTAATCATTGTGTCTCTTTGTACATTTTAAATGCCTTTATTTCCAGATTCAACTTCACACATGTAAATGAAACTTCAGTTAGTTCTAGAACATGTTTTCTGATCATGCTGAAAACATCTGCCATGTTGTGTCACAATGAGTTTTACATGCTCTTTACATGATTAAAGTTTTTTTCCTGGGCAAAGACCAAGAAAGGTGGTTTTGTTCTAAGTAGTAGAAGTTCTAAGCAAATTTGTGTGGTATTATGAATATTAATAAATAGATAAAGCCACTGAAGTCAGTTATCACCCAGAAAGGTTTTCCTCTGACTTCTGTGACTTCTTTGCCCACACAGAACAGTGAATTGACAAGAGAACTGTAAGACCTGTACAGAAGCAGAGTGGTGCTTCCATAAAAAAATCCATAGTGAGAGTAATAGGTATGGGATCTCTGTTACCAGACTACATGCCCTTCCCTGACTAGGAGTTCCTGCCTATTTTTGAGTAGGTTTTCCTAACTGTATAAAATCTTTTCCTCGTGAAACAGACATCAGCAGGAGGGCAGCTGGACTGTAGAGCAGAGCACTCCACAGCACCACACATCCCTCCCGTGGGCTGCCACTGCACCAGGCTGGCTTGGGCCCAACACTGTGAGCAAATGCACACTCCAGAACAGATTGGGTGCAGCCCCAGGAACACATCTTTCACTTTGGCTTCATCCAACGGAATCTATTTGCATGCCTTGAGACTGCTCCACAATGCTAATCAAAGCGTGCTAAGTAGAGAATATATATAAAGTAAAATGTAGACTCACTGGGAGGTCACTGGGTCCAAACAGTTCTTTCCCCAAACTCAGGGCCAATTTGGATGGCCAACATCAAATGACTTTTAATATACATTTTAGGCCATCCCAATAAACAAGCAAGTCTTGTCATTTGAATTTTATGACCTGATTTTAATACCATCAACAGAGAAGGATTTCTGGGAAGTCTCTGCAAGCATCTGCTCTTGACTTCTTGAGAGTTTTCCTCTAACTTTTCATGGTGCTTAGGAGAGAATGACCTTCAGATTAGTAAATAAACTATTCAGCATTGACACTTGTATGGAATCCAGGCTGTATTATAAACACTTGGTTATTTACTCCTATATTCCCTCTTAGGTGTTTTAGGTAAGACAACATTTTTACTTTGTTTTTATTTATCTTTTTATCTCATCTTTGGCATTTCAAGGTTTGTAAAAGACTTAAAACAGTAAGACATATAGGACAAAAAACCCAAAATAACCAGATCAAAAGCTGTCAGCATTGTCCTATTATTCAGTGTTTTATTTTCAGATGGATAGGAATCCCTTCATTTTTCTATTCATAGCAAACGCTCATTTTGAAAAGTAAAAATCTCCAAGTAATCCTTTCCATTTAGCAGTTTTCCAACTATCAAAAAACCACAAAGAAGAACATTTTGTTTTGAATGGACTGACTACAATTTAGACTGCCTCAGTGTACTGAAAAGAAACATAAACCACAGAGCACATCTTCACACGGCAGATAAACCAGAGATGCTCCAAATATTCTAGCCTACCTTGGTATGGATATATGGAAACCATGTAATGCTGATTACAAGCTATAGGTCCCACATGCTCTATGCATCTGCAGCTCTGCATACAGGTACATTACGGCCATATAGCAGCAAGGCCCAGACAGCACCAGCTTATGCAGAGGCAAGATCTCTGGTCTGTGGGCAGCTATGCTATTTTTTGGTATTATTTCAGCATTAAACTTCATCTTTCTGTGACCATCTATGAACTCCTCAGAGTTACAATTTTCACAATTTTACTACCCTTGTCTTCCATGAGGTGTGTTTACTAACCAAAACTTTATCTCCATGTTGTCCAACAGCCCATCTCTGACTGAAGTGTGCCTGTTCTGGGAATCCTCACGTGGTGAGGCAGCTTGGCTCACGTGGAAATGTGACACAATGAAACTGCTATTCCCAGCAGGCATGCCATAACACCTCAGGCTGATACAGAGGTGCAGGGTTGCAAAACATCTGTTTTTCTACGTTTTTTTTGTGTTACTTTTGGGGTTTTTTTTTTTTTTTTTTTTTTTGGTTTGGTTTTTTTGGTTGGTTTTTTTTCTTTTTTTTTTTTTTTTTGTTTTTTGTTTTTAGACAGATTAGACGCTTTCTAACCAAGTCCTCCAGTAACTCAAGTTTTGCACATATTGGTAGGTTTTGAGATGAAAACTAGTGCCAACAGCTGTAGGAAGGAACATTTTATTTTTGCCGCAGTCTTCTTGCAAGGTAGCAAAACAATTTCTCCTAGAAAACGCGGTATGTGAAGGTGACGAACATGGTTCTCCCGAGAGCGGGCACCGCTCATTTCTCCCACGGCCCCCCCAGCCCCAGCACGCCCGCGGCTCCCTGGCACGACAGGCCCCGGGCCCTGCGGCCGGACCTACCAGCGCTTCCTTGCCCACGGTGAGCACGGACGTGTAGGCCTCCAGGTACACCCTGCGGCAGCGCCGCACGGCCTCCAGCCCCTTCACCGTGATGTCCTTGGCATCCCCCAGGCCCAGCCCCACCAGGTACAGCATGCTCGGGAGCGCCCGGCCGCCACCTGCCTCACGAGGGAAACGGAAGCGGGCTCAGCCGGGGCGCCGCACGCCACACAGCTCGCCGGGACCCGGCCCCAGGTCCGGGGACAGCCTGGCTCCCGGCTCCCCGTTTCCCGGCCGCTCGTTTCCCGGCTCCAAGCTCCCCGTTTCCCGGCTCCTCTCGCCCGGCTCCCGGCTGCCCGCGGCGCCGTTGGGGCGCAGGGGCCGCCGGGAGTTGTAGTCCCCGGCCGCAGCTGGGTTATGGCAGCGGCGGGCAGGCCCGGTCCGGGCGGTATTCCCGCGGTGCGGGTCGCCAGCGGCCACAGCATCCCGGTGCTGGGGCTCGGTAAGTGGCGGCAGGACCGCCCAGAGCCCGCCTGCCTGCCAGAGGCGTTGTGAGAGGGCGGGGGTCACGCCAGGGCCGGCCTGGCCGGCTGGGCAGGTTCGGCGCTGCCCTTGTCCCGCAGGCGGACTCGCCTCAGGACAGCCCGGAGCGGAGCCTCCTGCCGAGCTGCCCGCGCTCAGCCGGCCAGCCCCGGTGTCCCTCCGAGAGCCCCGGTGTCCCTCCGAGAGCCCCGGTGCTGCCGGGTGAAGCTTCGTGCTCCTGCCAAAAGCGAGCAGCTGAGGCTGCTGGGCAGCGCTGGGCTCGCAGCACAGCAGCACCGCTCCCCTCCCGCCCGAGCCGGGGCCATGTGCGGTCTCTTGGTGGCTTGGGTGTGTCTTCTTAGGAGACGTGCGAGCAGACTTTTCTTTAGAGCAGACTCTCATGATAGAATTAACCTTACCGCACCTGTTGAACTGAGATCCTGGGTGGGAATCTCAGCATCTGTGAGGCACAAGGGAATGGTGGTTGATGATAATGATGAATATTTGATGCAGCTATCTCTTACAGTCACTATGTAGTAAGCAAAATGGCTTATGTTGATCAAAAATTACTAACTTTTTCTTTTTCTGTTTTTTGGTTGATTATTTTAACCTGTAACACTTACTGCCAATTTACTTTTCTTGGAGATATTTTTATAAAATTAAGGAAAAAATAACGTAAATAGTTTTTTTAGAGAATGGACTTGATTGTCTTATATCCATTGTTTCAGTATATGCTGAACTGTGCGTCAGACTGTCTACAGAACCACCTTTTGTATTGGAGGTTGTAATACATTTCTTGGGTAGAATAAACTGACTAGAAAGTAGACATGCAGAAAGACTCCTTTGTACTCTCCACCCAATAGTTCTTCCGTGTCCTTTTGCTGTGTTGGAAAGTTCTGAGTAGTTTATCGTTATGCCTGAACTCATACCACAGGAAATGGATAGTGGCATACAAGAAAATCAAGTTTGAAATTTTCTGGCCCAGTAACTTCTGCCAGGTATGGCTTTCCAGGAGCTTCTCTTGACTTTCAAGGAACTTCTCTTGACTTAGAGTAGTGGTGTTGTCTTGGGCAGGATTTGGTTCTTTGATTTCACTTACTTGTCTTGCCAGAGTAACACTTTACATATTGCTTTATACAGTCTGCAGATCTTTGAGGATTGTGTAATAGATAGGAAAATAGTCAAGTATTTTAAGAAATCCTTGATATATGGTGAAAAATGCTGAGAATTTAAGAAAAGAAGGGAGGAAAAAAAAGGTGAAGACTTGCAACGCTTGCATTTGTAGTCCTGCTATAAATACCACAATATGCAGCCCAACACAACGGGATCTTTATGGTAGCTGTTCTCACATAACTTCTCTTTTCCACATTAATGGCTTATTTTTGTTACAGTTTTACTGTATTAACTAATATCTGCAGAGCAAAAATTTTACTTGGATATGAAGTAGAGGTAAACTGTCTTAAATGAGAACACATTTTCTGCAAGGCCATTTTTTGCAGGATTTAAGATTTGTTTGTCAGTTCTCATCCCTCTAAACATGCAGACCTAATGGTTGTCTGGTGCCTCAAAGACAACTTTAATAGATGCAGATGTTGCATCTGTTGCTAGATAATCTTTCTAAAAGCTTCAGAGAGATAAATATGCTAAGTATGCATAAAGATGGTTTCAACTGTCCAGTTGTGCCACCTGGAAGGCAGCTCAGATAGCTTTGCAAGTTATTTTGAGGTGATGAAACCCCTTTTGTATTATTTGAGAGTTGAATTAGGAGAATGGTAATGTGTTTCTTGTCCAGAACATGTGACTCAAGAGAGTGCCACCACACCCTGGAATAGCATTCTGTCCAAGTTATCTCTTCTTCCTATTCAAGCTTCAGTTATCAAAAGGTATTTGTGACGGTGGTTTTTCGGTATGATTTCATCTTTTTTAATGGGTTTCCGTGCCACAGCTTATTTGTAATTTGTATAGAAGTTCAGTAAGTTGGTCAAGGTTTGATGCAAAAGGGAAGATCTGGGGAAGGAGGTTAAGTCCTTCGTTAGGTTGCCATTCACTTTCTGGGGCTTTGTACTCTTGTGTAAACTGTTCTTGGTGAGAAGGATCCATTTCTATTAAAATCTCTAGGGGGAAAGACGAATTTTTGCACCAGAGAAGGCCAGTATGCAAAAGTATGCAAAATTTGGTTCAGTCTGAATGGTTACTTGGAATAACATGCCAAATTGTGTACATCCAAAATTTCCTATCTACTTAGATGCATATTCTTAGTGTCGTGTCTGGCAAGAAGACCAGTCTACTGGCAATGGTAAAACAAGCTGACTTGCCTGAGACGCCAAGCAATTATAAGGCAGCTCACCTTTATGTTAGAAATATGTTGTATGGCTAAAGTTTTAATTAACAGGTTAAAATAATCTGTGCCTTGTTTATTGTACTACTGTGAAAACTGCTGGTAACTTTATGTTTGATATGGTTTAATGCTAACTGTTGTGTTAGCCAGCATTATTCACGTGCAGAGGGTCAGGCGTGTTTATGGTCAAGTTCATTACAAAGGCTGCTTTCTACTGGAGTGGGCTTAAGTCTAAAATGAATTGGCATTTTGGCCCTAATACTTGTCTCAAGGGTAAATCTGTGCCCCAGAGAATACATTACCTCACAGTGGCTGTAGATTGCATTAGAAAAAGGATACATGCACTATCTTGCTCATAAGATTAGTGTTTTAGAGTTGCATGGCAAATAACTGATATAAAACCTGACACTGTTTAGAAGTTACAGATGTAGCCACACTTTTCCATAGGAGCTACATGTGTCTGAGAATCTGTTGGTGAGACTTTGTACGATGACAGAAAATTATGTTCTTACAGTTTCTTAACTACAGAATACTTGGTGCTTACCTAAAGCATCATCCTCAAAAAACTATCACTTGTCAAAATGGCATACACAGGATCATCGTTGTCAGGTTTTGGAAGGAAAATGTACAATTTGAACTGTTCATGCTTACTTCTGTTCAGTAGGAAGCTCTCACTTAGACAGTTGTCACTTCCTTTTTTTTAAGTCTGAGGACTGAAAATGCCACTCTGTAGCATTTGATTATAATTCAGTAGCACAAGGGCTTTTTTTCCTGTAACTGAAATATTGGGACTTTTGTCAAGGTCATGTGCTGAATGGTTGACATCTCTTCAGGATTGTTTTGGTCCTTTCTATTGAAACTCTCTTCATCCCCTTTATATGGTAGTTATATTCCCATTAGAACAGGGTTTTGTGTGTGTTTTTCTTAGTTAATTTGTGTTTGTTGTTTTGTTTGGGGTTTTTTTAGGGATGATAATAATTAAATTCTGGTGGCTTGGTCAAATAGCCAGTGATTTCTTGAAAAGGTGTGCTGGTGATACCAAAAATACATAGAATCTTTTTGTGCAATGTTGTTTTCTATGCAATCTTTGGGGCAGCTAGAGTCAATAACAACTCGATGAGATAAAAAAGTCTCTAATGATACCCTCTTATTAAAGAATAAAGTTAATTTCATACTTGTTTGGGAAGGGGCATCAAGACACACAATTACTAAACAAAATAAAGTCTTTATACTAATTGTGCCTTACTGAGGTCATGCAGAGTGAGTATTTTATCAGTAGTAATAATGTTCTGTAAAGAAGGTCATTCAAGACTGCCCAGCATCATTACTGTAGCTGGGAAAGCAGTCAGGTACTGCTCTGAGCAGCTTCTGCTCAAACAGCCAAAGCCTGCAGGAAAGTAATACACACACAATCCTTCCAGACTCAAGGGAAACCACTAACATATCTCTGTCCTCATTTCAGGGTCTTTCACAGATAACATTCCTGATACTCTGCTGTACCCTTGTCTAAGTAAATAAATCATAAAAGTAGGTTTTGACTGATTTTTACTGATTGCATTAAGACATTGCATCATTTGCATTGCAACCACTCAGGACTTCTTGTATTGTTCCCAGTTCTTTTCACAACAAATAGACCTCCTGGCAAAAAGCACAGAATCAGATTGCTCCACTTTCATTGCATCAGGTTGTGTTGGGGTGTTTTCATCAAAATGCTACATAAATTTAAATCTTAATGCTGAATGGAAGTATTTGAACATTCCATTATGTATTAATAATCCAGTTACTTGCTTCTTAATTATAAATCCTAGAGTTGCTTATTCTCATCTTAAATTTAGCTGTGGTCAAAAAAAGACCCAGTCCTACTGGACTGGAATAAAATGAGGTTTGCTTTTCAATTCAGTGGCAGTAGAGTCAAGCCTTCACTTTTCTTCATTTACTACTGTTGCTGCCTTTTTTAAAAAATTCGTGGCTCCTGTTTCTTCATGGCTTTGGTTCTTAAGGAAATTCATGGAACAGTAGTCCTCGTACCAAGACCTATGGCACTCCCTGCTATTAATCTTACCCTGTAATAAGAATTGGCTGTTTATTTCTTCCCTTTTTTTATGTCTCAACCATTTTTTTTTATTCTCTTGAGGCTCTGCTTCTCACCCATGGTTACCAAGTTGCCTTAAAAGCCTCTTGTGATGAACAAAATGCCACCTCTATAAATCTTTCTGTCTCAATTCATCCACTGTTTCAGTAGATCTGACCTAGAGAAGTTGTACTTGATCTTTGAGGGCCTCCAGATATTTAACTTCTCTCCTGTCAGGACTGTGGCCATATCCCAGGCAGCTGGGTGCTCTGGCAGTGGAACAGAGCAGTGTCCTCTCCCAGCCTGGCTGAACCTCGTGAGCTCCTGCCTTCCTTGCTTTCTTCCAGCTTCACCTCCTTCCAGCCTGCTGCTGTTTTACTCCTTAGAAAGGACTGACTACTATACAAGGGTTGTTATAAGGGGTACTAATAAATGCATCTGGGGCAAAATGCTGGGCCAACTTTTACTTACATCAGAGGCTACACAGTACAGAAATATTCTCCTTTTTTTCTGAGGGGAGTTGCTGCTTTGTCTCTGCTCTCTTGTACACCTACCAAGCTGTGAGGTCAGC